TGAAATAGGTTTGGCAAGTCATCCTACTCCTTGTCGCGTACAAGCTTGCGATGGAAACCACGTCAATTGACTCAATGACAGGCCTTATGATCTAAAGCGCACGTTTTCAGTTTGAAATATAAAGATTTATTTAACAGTTAATGTTTATATTGTCAATAATATGGGTTCACAGCCATCTTTTCCGAGCTTAGCGCCCATAAAGGTTTTAATCAGGTCCCGTCTCTGTTGATGATGAGTTGTTAGACGACAATAATCTACTCCGATTTTAGTGCCCATAAAGGCCTTAATCAGACCCCCTTCTCTGTTACGGTGGATTATTAAAGATCGGAGCTATTCTTGAATTGGGCCGATTTTTGAAACCCATCAATTTATAAAATGTACGTCGAAAGTCCGGATTTTTCACAGCATAAACTATAAAATTCATCCCGGAATTCAACAAACAGAGCGGTGTTACAATATGAATCACCATTCTAGGAACACTGTTGGTTAGATGTTTTAATATCAGGACGACCATATTGGGTATCCAACACATGGCAAAGATTCCAAACACCAACATAAACATCTTCACTAGCTTCATTTCAATCTCAAACGTCTTCTTGGCATCTTGAATTTGAAGTCGAAGGATTTCTTTCTGTTGTTTGGCGGCTATTTTTAAAATGATCGCGTAACACACACTAATTATAATAAAACATATAAAAAACGCGACACATTGTATGTAGACTTGAAACTCCATTTTCAAGAAAATAAAAGCATGACAAATTGGACAGGTATACCAGTTGTTGTAATAAGCTGGGATAAATCCAGCGTTAAGGGAAATCAACCAACCGACTAATATCACCACCTTCGCTCTAAAGGTATTCATAATAGTTTCGTAATGAATTGAATAGCCGATATAAAGGGCGCGATCAAAGGCCGTCGCCATTAAGAAGTAAACAGACGCCGCTCCGGAAGTTGTAAACGTGACGTATTTAAATATACAGTATACTCGGCTATGATCTAAGATGTCCATTAACGTCGGCATGTACAACAGAAATTGCATGGGGATCACCAATCCCCCGATCATCAAATCAGCAATCGCCAGGGAAACCACAAACATATTTGGTATTGTTCTTAATACTTCCGTCTTGCAGACCGCGACTATTGTTAACGTGTTTCCACCACATATAAACAGACCGAGAATGATATACAGGATAGGAAAGACTATAATTTCCAGACCGCTTGGTGAAGATGATGTAATATTTGTACAATTGGTACTCATCGTTTAAACTCGACAATGTCCTTTCTACCTTTTGAAAATCACTGCTAAAGTCAAATATATAAATATACGATTGTTTAATATCGCAATCAATAACCAATACACATTAAACTCGGCAGCTGTTTATCGGTTGTTGTATCCCCGTCTAAACTCGTCAATGTCCTCAACAATTATTAAAATGCAAGACTTGAGGTGTGAGTCAAATATAGATATATATATATATATATATATATATATATATATATCCGACTGTTTAATATCAGCTAATAAAAATTAAACTAGACAGCAGTGTTTATCGGTTCCGGTGCCGGAATTTAAACTCCCAACTTGAATATCCCAACAGAAGATTCACGAATATTCAATATCGTTAGCAACAATTAAAATTTTTTAAACTCAGCAGCATTCTTAATACTTGTGAATATCATCTTTAAATATCGGTGTCACTGTCTAAACTAGTTGACGTCCTTTATACTTCAAAATATAACTACTGACGAGAGGAGACGAGATATTCTAAAACTGTTCAACAATAGCTACACAACAACTCAACTCGGCATCATGCTGATTATTATCTCTGAGTATCAGAACTACAGATATGAAATGTTCTAATATACACGACTGTTCAACAATAAGCAATATCAACTAAACTCGGTTCTATATTCTTAACATCTGTGAATATCAGGACTGAAGATCTGAAACTTGGGTGAAATGAGATATTCTGTAAGTTGTTAATCAAGAATCAATATTGTTATGCTAACTGATGATGATGTTATTCACATCGTTAATTGGCACATGTAATATTAGAATTCCTTCCATTACAAAACAAATACAGGTGCGGATATACCGTTATTAGTTGTGTCAATTTCATTCGCTATTATTCATTCGAAAATAATGAAACGAAAAAAACCAATTAGGGGCCCTGATAAAGAAACTAAAATAAAATAGGGATCTAACGTGTCACAGGGGCTAATTAGGGCGGGCATACGTCAAACAGCGTGTTATGAGAGAAATTGACAAGAGTTGTTTTACGTGTATAGGATTTTCTATTGGCAGAAGTGCCGGCAAGCGTCTTGTCGTTCGGTTCAAACGAAAAACAAACGAGGCGCTTGCTGTCTTGCGTGTACGAACACGCAGAAGTTTTTATACTGGCAATGAAATGGAGTTTATAGAGACGGATATTAATACTTACAGAACGGTCGTTTTGTGCCGTCAAATCTCGTCTCGTGGGTTTTCTCCGGGACCTCCGACTGCTAAAGACCCCTATTGAATTATTGAAATAAAATTGAACCATATGTTAGTCCCGATCTGTTACTCTGTCTCCCCCTCTCTGTTGATGTTACTGTTTTCTGTCATTCACGATATAAATCATAGATTTGGAACTTAAAGCAAAGAAACATACGCAATCAGTCTTAAGCACCCACAAAGTTTTTCAAAGTGATCTAGTGAAATAATTCTAAAAATGTTTATCTGATAGTTTTCTTCCTTGTGCCCCAATGATTCCCTAAAACGAGTTCGGAATTTATGATTGAAAAATTTTGAAATTCGATAAGCATCTTCCTTTCATCCCAATAAAGAATTACAATTAAATAAGAGAAAATACGACCTACTAATTCTTCCTTCCGATCCCAGGCAAAAAATCCCTGAAATTTTAACTGAGCAATTCCCCAGGGATTCCTGTATAAAGTTATCAGAAAAAACTGTTGACGGCCGAGGAAGACGACGATATACGACAAATCATTGCCTCCATTTCACATAGATATTAAGAGAGAGAGAGAGAGAGAGAGAGAGAGAGAGAGAGAAATTAAAAGTAAGCCTTTTGAAAAAAAAAAAATGAAATTATCGCTGTTAATTTTGTTGTACAATCCACACGAATTAATTTGACGAAAAGGTATATTTGAACAATGTTTTCCTCTCACATCTTTCAGTACTAATTTCTTTACTTGAATCTTGGTGGGGTCATTCAATCAAGGAGTTAGGCCCGGGCATCATTACGTGTAGATCACTGCAAGCCACAGCAGCGCAGAAAATGGTAATTATGTTCATGCATTAAGTAAACTTAGTTTATTATATGACTATTAGTAGAATTTGTGTTGGAAATGAAATGGGGCTTAACGTCCGATTTATCAGCACCAACCGGGCTGAAGAAAACAGACCTTATTGTTATTTAAGGGAATTGTTCCCGGACAGTGAGGCTACGGACTAATCTTATTGTTATATGAGGGAATTGTTCCCGGACAGTGATGCTACGGACTACTTTTATTTGTAATTCACTCTGTTCTGCACCACTACTTGGAAACCAAGCCGGAAAATATCCGAGAAACTTTCCTAGCCTACACCGCAGGCTAACCAGCGCTCTGTCCACTGATGGGGCAGTTTATACCCCCCTCCCCCCTCACAACCCCTTTATCACTCACTCTAATATATAGGGTAGCTTCTACCCCCTGCCCCCCCCCTTCATCACTCTAATAATTATATAGGGAAGCATCTAACAATGTTAACACCCAGAATTTAACTTAATTCTTTTTTTAACTCTTGTATATGCTGCATTCCTGAAATGGATGCGGTGGCGTTTCGCACCCCCCCCCCCCCCTGCACGCATAAAACCTTACATCATCCTTCATCACTCCAACCACTGTATTTGACTAATTATGGAGTACAATAACAATAATGTAATCCAGCCACCGGGAATAACATGTCTTACCTGTTGTCTTACCTGTCTATCAGGATAGAGTCAAGAACAATGCGATATATTTGTAATCCAGACACCAGGAATAACATGTATCATTTTAATAACTACTCTATTGTCTTGTTTCTCATTATTAAAATATCTTTATTTGTTCACTCAATATTAATTAACCAGACATAATTTTTATAATTTTTAATTATTTTTCACTGTCTCATTAAGACCTTTTCATCCTGTTTGATTTGCTCCCTGGATATTAATAACTAGTTTATAATATGTCTTATGAAGCGGATGATTAGAATTATAACTAATATAAACATATATTGTCTGGTGCTTCAGGGGGATTAGTTATAGACTAGAGATCTAATTAATATCCAACATAACAGGGGATAATCAAATGTTTTTATCATAAGCTACCTATTATTGACCAGGTATCCTACCTGTTGTCTTACCTGTCTGTCAGGAAAGAGTCAATAACAATGAGATATACAGATAAGTAAAAGATCTCCTAACCCAAGAACAACAGAGGATAGTGTAGATTTAGATACAATCAGGTACAATTATCATTAAATCTAACCTAAATCTACACTAGGATTGGGTTAGATCTTTTACTTACTTATTCTTAGATTTTTCACTGATTCGTCAAGCATCTGTCTTCAGATCCTCGAGAAGACGGGTGGTGGGGGACGGGGGATGGTGGGGGCTGGATAGATAGCATGTGCGCGCTGTATCATCATAATGTCTGTCATTGAGTCAACTGGCGTGATTTTGATTCCCGGTTGTACGTGACAAGGAGTAGGGTTTTCTCTGGGTCCTCTGGTTTTCTTCCACTGTTAAAGACCCCTACGTGCAAGTGAATTACTGAAATAAAATTGAACCATGTGTTAGTCCCAAAGTGACCTAGTTTGTGTCGAGTGACCCATTTCTCTCACTCTCCCCTCAAGAAGACAGTTGGCACATAGAATCCTTTCCACCCATCTCATCGCTCAGTTTTTAGCCGTTTTTCTCCAGTCAAGGCTTCAATGAGATATATTTCAACATTGTTCCTAAAAACAAGTACATCCATATAAATCTACATTTTTTTATTAGCTATCATTATTAACATCAGAAACAAAACCTTTAATAGTTTAAACTTGATTATTTGTTAAAACTTTCACAGTTACAATCTTTAATTACACACATATCAATATACTGTAGATCAATCATATTTAAAACAATTTTAACATGGCAATAGGTCAAGCAAAATAACCTTCTTGTCACTCACTTTATCATAATGTGTTTAAATCAGAAATTTTAATGATTTAACACCTGGTAGTTGCATGTAATTAAACAAACATTATGCAAAAACTAAATCTTGTCTATTGCAGATCTTTCTTTAGGCCGGAAAAGTTAATTTTCAGCAAATTCCCTTTACATTATCTAGCTGTTAACTATTATAGTGCGAACTGCCAGCTCTTTATCTAATATCCCATATGTAAACAAATTCCAAATGTTGATCGCAAGAACTGTAGAGGTTTATAATATTCTATAAGTATATGTACATGACCAGTATATATAATATGTTCAGCTGCATTCAAAGATTGAAGATATTCGTTTTTTATAAATAGGTATTTAGATGGCCAGTTTATATAATATGTTTTGCTGTATTCAAAGATTAAAGATATTCGTTTTTTATAAATAGGTATTTAGATGGCCAGTTTATATAATATGTTTCGCTGTTTTCAAAGATTAAAGATATTCTGTTTTCATAAATAAGGAATCAATATTGAAACATTCAATTTATACACACATTGGGTTGTATTTCACGTCATATTGATTCTGAAAGTTAAATTTAATTCCTGTTACAATCTCTAGAAAACCAGTTACAAATATTGTTTATAAAAGTTGACACAATCAAACAAATCTTTCTGAGTTGTCCTCATTAGAAGAGAATATTTTAATTGTAGTTCTGGGTCGTCAGTCGATATTTTAAAAATCGTTTTTGCGAAGACCTCTGTAAATATAATCAACAACCACGAAGTAAGGTCAAATATGGTTGGACAATTAGTCGAATCGTCCTTCAGTTGGCTCCATATATAGAATTCTACAACAGACGCAGCAGCGGCCAGACTTGGTCTCTGTGTAAAAAATAAAAAGAGAAAGATTAACATTATATAATAAATCTGATTAAAACACAGATCCTATTTCGTTTCGTTTTTTTATAGTTCAAAATTTCATTTTACTTGTCTTTACTACATTAGGATCTGGAAGACTTGTTATATAACTCATGTTCTGGTTGATGTGAGGGATTAGCCAATGAAATGGTCTCTCACAGCGAGTTCTTGGCATGCTGTGCACGAACTGTTAGTAACCCACTAGAAACGTCAACGCTTACTTAATAATTAATGTCTGACGTCATAGAGTCAAAAGTCGCTTGTATGACCCCTGACACGACCTTCCACTACAACTGGCCAGATCTTCATGTAGTAGAGACCATCGAAATTATATAAAAAAAAAGACGAAACGAAATATAGATGTATATTTTACTCAGATTGATAATATTTGTTTTTATTTTGTTTTTATGAGTAGAATCTAATTTATCCTGTGGTGAGGGAGGGATATTTGTGTTTATTTTGTTTTTATGAGTAGAATCTAATTTATCCTGTGGCGAGGGAGGGATATTGAAATGTGCTCCGTTCCGTCCCGTCCCACCTTTCGTCACAAGTTTGCTTCTTGAGTACATCTCTTATATCTCATAAACCGTTCTTGTAATTTCGTACCCATATCAACCTATTATCGTAGTTGTGCCTCTTGCTAATTAGCAATTTCTCAGATTACTAATTTATCTGTTTCCATGGAAACAAATTTGAGAAGTGGTAAACATCATATTTACCTGTTGTGGATCTCTGTCTAATATTTTATATACAAGATTCTGAATAACATCAGGTACAGCATCTGAAAACACAGAAATCATTTGACTTTAATCTGTTATACATGTAAACAATCTACATAGCTAAACCTGTATCACACCTTGTCAATGATGAACTGTGATATATTAGAATAGTTAAACCTGTATCACACCTTATGAATGATGAACTGTGCTATTTTAGATTAAAAAAAATAACATTCACTGTACACAAACTAGGTCATTTATGGACAACAACATATGGTTCAATTTTATTTCAATAATTTGCTTGCACGTAGAGGTCTTTACCTGTGGGAGGAAACCGGAGGACCTGGAGAAAACCCACAAGGTTGAACAGGCGACTCTACTCCTTGTCACGTACAACCGGCGAATCAACACCACGCCAGTTGATCCAATAACAGACCTTATGATACAGTACACACATGCTAACCATTCGGCCATCCCACTTCCCTGAATATTTAGTGAGCCAGCTTTTTATCCACTGAGCAAACAATAAGGGCAAATGAGTATCATAACAATATACTTCCATATTAAATACAGGTGTATAAATGTATATATACGCCACCTACCTGGTAATGTTGATAAATACAGGTGTGTAAATACAGGTGTATAATTGTATACGCCACCTACCTGGTAATGTTGGTAAATCAGACATCTGGTATAAACTGCTGTTTAAACATTTACTCCCAGTTTGACCAGAAAATGGATTCTCTAAACCGAAAATTTCATACGCCAAAGTTCCGACAGCCCATAAGTCACTTTTTCCATAATCTAACACAGCTCTACCACTTCTACTAGGTGTAGCACAAGCTATCTGAAATATTTAATATTGGTGGGGTATAATATAACAACTACTCAACTCCAGAGTTATCTCCCCATACAAACCACTAACTACATACATTTTCCTGTTACTTCCAAAATCTTTACCCTTGACATTAAGCCACCCCAATCCCATAAATAAAAGTATAAAATATTAATGTAATTATTCCGTTTCTATAAAAACAAGACAATTTGTGCTTTTTGTCGGTTGGGGTGATGTAGATGATGAAACTGAATGTTAAAAGATATCCATTACAAATCAGCATTGATACTTCGTTTTTTTCAAAAGTTTTGGACGACCCCCTAGACCCGAAAAAACTAATATCCAGCATGACCGCCACTCCTTGACATAATATAACCTTGGCTAGACCAGATTTCAAGCATGTGATCCGCTTGCGCAATCTTCTTACCAAACCATGCAGAGCTCAATTTGAATTCAAAATGATATTTTGGGTATTTGATGTCAGTTTTAGCTATGTAGCTCATGAAGATTTTATATGGGTAAGTGGAAACGAAAGTTTTCGGTAGTGGGTGTGGTTGCCATTGGAAACCAGTTTACTTTTTAAGTTACAGAATAACTGATGATTGAATATTTAGGCCTAATAGAGTAAAATAAAACAGTTCCTCCTATAAACAAGGTACTGAGTCAACCAAGGCACACACAGTTTCAAACCAGCATTATATACTTTACTTACTTCCGGTGCCATTAAAGAAGGGTTACCCCCCTTAGACTGTTCATTTGTAATATAAGGTATCTTTAAACCATATTCTTCATCTGCTAAACAACATCCAAAATCACTTATAACTAACGCTGGCATACCTAGATAATATATTATATATTGTTACATCAATTATAACCAACCTAGATCATATATTACAGAATAATCCAGGCGACATTTTTTATTATTTGTATGTTTACGATCATGTCATATATAGCTGAATCCTTATACCAAATGTTTTCAAATTCCTCTCCCACAAGTGGCCACTGTTTGTGTATTTTACACAGAAATCAGTAATTATTAACCAAGACTTTTGATCGACACAATCGTGTTAGATCAACATATAATTCATCGAAAGGAGACATGGCTGAAATCAAAAGGTTGTAATGAGACACAAGGGTTTAAAGATAACAAACTCAATATCCACTCAACACAAACTAGGTCATTTTGGGACTAACATATAATAATATTTATTTCATACGTTAACCATTCGCCCCCTTCCATGACAGACTTTATGACTCCTCGACCCATATTATTTGAATTCAAGTATTACCTTTTGTACAGTCAATGAGTATATTATTAGACTTTAAATCACGATGAGCTATACCATGAAAGTTCAGATGTTCAACACCTTCCAGTAGTTGAGCCAGAAGAAATAATTTTGTTGTCATATCTAGATCATTCTCAGATAAATACTCTCTTAGTGTACATGTATATCTGAAAATATACAAAATATTCATCATTTGAAACAGACATATCCTCTTTATCCGTATGTCATGTTCATGAAGAAAGCCAGATGACGATAAAAAATGGGGTTTAACGTCCACATAATAATAAATTATAACACATACTTATGGAAGAACAATTACTGATTTATTTAGGCGGTTGTTTCGAAGAGAGTTCGAAATGTCGCCTAAATAAATCAGTAATTGTTCTTCCATAAGTATGTGTTATAGTTTATTGCTCTATCCAGTTACTAAAAGCCTCTAAAAGGTCCATATAATAGAAACATGGTCATTTTGGGACTAATGTAAATAATACATTGAAAGAAGATTTACCATGTCATATGTAACATCTTTATTTCAAAAATTCACACAGATTCTTTAGCACATGCAGGAAACTGGATGACCAGAGAATACTATCAAGGTTAGGTAAAGCATCTCTACTCTTTGTCATGCACAATATTCTGAGCAAAACCACACAACTCAAACCAAAGATAGACATTATGAATAAGCATTAGACCATTCGTTCTATGAGAGTTCTTAAACAAACCTAGTTCCCTTTGATAAAAGAACCAATGAAATGGTCTGATTAGTCAATGTTTAAGAGACATGTGCCATGAATTATGGGAGACATTTATAGAGCAGTAGAAAATAAAACAAAAGTTAAATATAAACAGTTTACATCATTCAGTCTGGTAAAATAAATTCCGTGGGGGGATTGATCAGTGGCAGAGGCGTTGTCTTTGAAGGACTGAAAATTTTACCAAGCCACAGGAACAACTTTCTGTGTTGGAACATTTCCGCACCTTATTTCTAGAAAATCCCTAAAGCCCAGCGCAGATCAAATAATATTTGTTAGGATCTAAGAAAATAAATGTTTTATACCTTTATTAAATTTCCTGCAAACTTTAACGCAAACAACCAACATATGTTCAAAAGAGATCAATATTGATGATTGATACAAACATCACATGGTAACACAAGGACCAGGATAGCTATTTCTTAGCGAAATACTGATCAGATGAGAGAGAGAGAGGGAGAGAGAGAGAAATGGGGTTTAACCTCCACTCGACACAAACTAGGTCATTTCGGGACTAACATATGGTTCAATTTTATTTCAATAATTCGCTTGCGCGTAGGGGTCTTCAGCAGTGGGGGGAAACCGGAGGACCCGGTGAAAACCCACGAGGTTGTACAGGTGACCCTACTTCTTGTCACGTAAAACCGTGGAATCGAAACCACGCCAGCACGTGCTAACCATTCGACCATCCATCTCCCCCACCAAATTCAACGCAAACAAGACTCCAAATTCAACGCAAACAAGACTAACACAACCATTTGTTGGCCTACAAATGTTAGTCAATCTGTGATAGGCCTAAAATGATTTTAATTCCCACCTTTTCATTACCAGGAACATGGTCATATTTCTCCCCAAACCATTGTCGTGTAATCTTGTTGGTAGAGCAGCAGGATATTTCACAGACGCGTCGGGTATATCGGGAACATCACCAATAAAAACTTCTTTCATATCAACAATATTTGGATGTGGAGGAAGATGGCATGGCTGTTCGCTGTAGAAAAACAAGATAGGTTGCCAGGCAACTAAACATACGCCCACAGCAGCTGAATCGTCCGAGCGGTCGACAAGAGTTGTCGTATATTTGTTCTTTTGTAGGTAATTAGGGGGCATTTAATAGACAATTTCATACAGATGACATTATAATTTTCGTCGTTTGCGGGTTCACAAGGTTCTAAAAACTAAAACAAGGGCTGTAACTCTGGAAGTAATCTACAGAAATTGTTGAAATTCGACAGACTTTTTCGTTATACTAATTCAAATAATACATATCAATTTCATACAGATCAGATGATAACTTTTGTCGTTCGAACGTTCACAAGGTTCAACAAAGTAAAACAAGGGCCATAACTCCAGAAGTAATTGACAGAAATTGCTGACATTCAATAGGCTTCTTCATTTCACTAATTTAAATGATGCATATGAATTTCATACAGATTGGGTGATAACTTTTGTCGTTCAAGCGTTCACAAGATTCAACAATGTGAAACAAGGGCCATAACTCTAGATGTAATTAACGGAAATTTGCTGAAACTCAATAGGCTTGTTCGTTTTACAAATTTAAACGATACCTTTCATACAGATAGGATAATAACTCTTGTCGGTAAAGCATTCACAAGGTACAACAAAGTGAAAAAAGGGCCATTACTCACGGTGTAATTAACGGAAATTGTTGAAATTCAATAGGCATCTTCGTTGCACTAATTTAAATGATGCATATCAATTTCAAACATACTGGATGATAACTGTTGTCATAAGAGCGTTCAAACGATTCAACAAAGTGAAACAAGGGCCATAACTTTAGATGTAATTAACGGAAATTGCTGAAATTTAATAAGCTTCCTTGTTTTACTAATCTAAATTATGCATATAAATTTCATACAGATCGGATAATAACTTTTGTCGTTAGAGCATTCACAAGGTACAACAAAGTGAAACAAGGGCCATAACTCACGACGTAATTAACGGAAATTGCTGAAATTCTATAGGCTTCTTCGTTTCACTAATTTAAATGATGCATATCAATTTCAAACAGATCGGATGATAACGGTTGTCATTAGAGCGTTCACAAGATTCAACAAAGTGAAACAAGGGCCAAATTGCCGAAATTCAATAGGCTTCTTTGTTTTACTAATTTAAATGATGCATATAAATTTCATACAGATCGGGTGATAACTTTTGTCGTTAGAGCGTTCACAAGGTGCAACAAAGTGAAACAAGGGCCATAACTCCAGACGAAATTAACGGAAGTTATTGAAATTATAAAGGCTTCTTCATCTCACTAATGCAAACAACATATATTAATTTCAAAACAACTGTTGATAAATGTATTCTGTAGAGTGTTCACAAGAAATTGTGGACGACGGACGGACAGACGGGGGCGACGGCAATATACGACCACATTTCCATGTGGGCGTATAAAAATGATTTGATAAAAAAAATGTGCACATAGTTTCTTATTAATGTATTTGATACATTAAAACAACAAAAGATTTATAAAGGGCGATACTTTTGTTAAAATAAGGCAAACAATTTTGAGTAAATTCTTAACTTTAGTTGGAGAATGCTTTGTGAATTCAGGGCAAGGTTCGGGACTGTACAGAGCTCTGGACGTTTACGGCTACGGATCCATTCATATCATCTGATATGTACTAATAACTCACCTCTCATTGAAGTTAATTATATTTAGACTTTCTTGGTCTATTCTCATTTTAGCTGGTATTGTTTCTTTCTTCATGGCCTGAGAAATGGCGATTGTATTAGATTCAGCATCGTAGTTAAACATCATTTTAACGGCCAAATCACAACAAACATCTGGTGGTTTATGTTTCTCAGGATTTTCTACATCTGAAAAATAAATTAAAATTAAAAAAAAAAATGTTCTGGACGTCATTCACAGCAAGGGAAAAGGAAGTCGTGTAACTGAGGGAGAGAGAAATGGGGACTAACATCAAATTGACACAAATTAGGTCATTTCGGGACTAACATATAGTACAATTATATATCAATAATTGGCTTTTGCATACATCTAAAGCGGGTCTTTAGCAGAGTTAGACAAGCTGTTGTAATGCAAGATACACCCACACTTTGCAAGAGGCAGACAGAGAAAACAGGAGAATAAAGTCCTATTCGTACCATAAGGAGCCATAATCCAGGATGTTATGGTCCAACATGTGTCAATATCAAAAGGAACTGGGATCTTTGTGAAATAAATATACATTTTAAGTTTCATCAAACTGGATAAAAATTGTGACCTCTAGAGGACCACAAACTAAAAACATAATTTTTCGTACATTCAAGGGCCATAATCCAGGAAGTTACAGTCCGATATGTGCAGATATCGAAAGGAACTGAGATCCTTGGGATATAAACATACACTTTAAGTTTCATCAAAATCGGATAACAATTGTGACCTATATAGAAGGTCTACAAAATTGGTATCACATACCTTTACACTATTTGCGCAAGGAAGTAGTGATTTTCCTGGGCAATTTCACAATATTCAAACTTCCCTGTTTTTAAAGTCATCATAATCACCACTTAAAACTTTGCTTAAAAAGTTCATTTCTTATACGTCATCACAATCACAAATTAAAAACAGGCCAATATCGAAAGGAACCAAGATCTTTTGGGTCAAAATTAGATCAAACATGTGATCTGTAGAGTGTCCACAAACAAATTGTGGACAAACGTGTGAACAGACATGGGCGATGACAATATACGTCCACATGAAAAAGTTTGCATATAAAAAGTCAATGGCACATCAGGACTTTGATGGACGTATTGATACAATGAAATCATATCTTATACAAACTGTTATAAAATGGATTAAATGATCGCCTGTTACCTTGTAGTAAAAAGTCTTCCTCGTCTAAATCAATACCAAGAACGAAAATATCACTATCATCATCATCAAACACCAGAGGTTGGCCGTCAGCATCCTGACTTTCTTCTTGAACAAACGTAACAAAATCAACATCATCATCACACTCCAGAGGTTGGCCGTCAGCATCCTGACTTTCATCTTGAACAAACGTAACAAAATCAACATCATCATCAAACACCAGAGGTTGGCCGTCAGCATCCTGACTTTCATTTTGAACAAACGTAACAAAATCAACATCATCATCCCGCTCCAGTATCTCAATACTATCTGAATCGGACACCATGGAATTGACAGAAAAATCTCCACTTTCACAATCAGGCGATAAATCCATTAAAACGGATTCATTGCTGTTACTTTTGTTGTTTAATTCCCCAGGTTGCGACGACGGCATGAATTCTGTCTTCACTTCTTCAACTAAAATACATAAATCAAAAAGCTTATTTTTAAAAAAATAAGGACCAATGGTGACTCAGTCAGTATTGAGAGAGAGAAATGGGGTTTAACATCCACTCTACACAAACTAGGTCATTTCGGGACTAACATATGCTTCAATTTTATTTCAATGATTCGCTTGCACGTAAGGGGTATTTAACAGCAGGAGGAAGCCTGAGGACCAGGAGAAATCCCATGAGGTTGGACAGACGACCCTAGTCCTATTAACAAAACAACCAGGGAATAGAAACCAAACCAGTTGACTCAATGACAGACCTTATGATACAACGCGCACATGCTAACCAATCGGCCATCCAACTCCCCAGTACTGAGCTAACTCACTAACCAGGAGGCTTGAGGTTCAATCTCATTGTTGACGGAGAAAGAGCCTCAGAATTTTGCAACTTGGTTTCCCCCCAGTTAGTTGTGCATGATGCCAGACCCTGAAAGGGAAACATCTAGTGGTTGGCATACCACGAAAAAACGACGTCCCGTATCTTTCATTGGAAGGAAATTAAAAATCACTAGACAAGTGGAATTAGGAAATCTGGATAAAATGCAATTTTATAAATTAGAACTTTCAATTATAATTGTACCTTCGGTCTCTGATTGGTTATTTTCAGCATGTTCTGATTGGTTAATTTCAACATGTTCTGATTGGTTCTGTTTGTATCTGGCTTCATAGACAGCAGCATTACAGCCTTTTGCAATAAACGAACCTAATTCTAGATCATCCAGACAGAAAGCCGATGGTTTAAATGGCTTGTTGTATGTTGATGGTAAGTCAAAACTCTTACATGCATCCTAAAAAACACCAAAACATTTTAGTATTAGATAATGAATAAAATATAAACAAATGACAAGGCGTGTTCCTTTAAATCATACAAGTACAGGAGAGATGGAGTTTAACATCCACTTGACAAAAACTAGGTCACTTCGGGACTAACACATGGTTTAATTTTATTTCAATCATTCGCTTGCGCGTAGGGGTCTTTAGCAGTGGGAGGAAACCCGAGGACTCGAAGAAAACCCACGAGGTTGGACAGGCGACCCTACTCCTTGTCACGTACAACCGGGGAATCATACAAGTACATGTTACACCAGTCCCAGATCTGGCCAACTATTGTTTGGATGGTACAGTCTGTCTTCATTTATGGCTTTTTTTTAAGTTATAGACAAAGTGAAAACTGGATGTCTAGAGACAGAACCTCATATTCTTGATGTGCTTTACGTCATCTAGGGTTATTATTTATAACGATCAATCAGTCAGTGTTGACAGTGCCATTCAGTTTATATTGCCAAATATGGATGTAAGCGCATCATGCACAGCAAAAATATGACGATCTGGTTCTAGCTGCACTTGACAGGACGTCTATCAAAAATCCATTTTACCCGAATATTACTGCAGATGTTAGAGGCATTCTCATTTTCATTATCTTCAAATGATGATATTCCCACTCCAATAAATGCGAAGAGAGGGAGATAGCGACCATTAGCTGACTGACGAATTCCTCCCGAAATTCCTTGCAAAGCAGCCCTTCTTCTCAGCTCTGCTGCAACCGTACGGATCGAAACACGAGGAAATAAGCCATCAAAAACTGCTCGTTGAATGGATGGTTTGGTTGACAAAGGAACATTGTTCTGAACATTGCAGGTTTTTGGAATTTCTCTGAGACCGACCTTCTCTGTGGTCTGGAAAACTGACTGGAAAACCTGTCGTCCATTCTGAATGGCTCTCGAAACAACTTTTTTCACGGCCGTTTCGATCCCAACACCTCCTGTCGCCTGCACCCACAATGGGGTCACAAGTTTATGAAATAACAGCTCTTTCATGTAATGTTGTTTAGGTACAATCTAGGAAAAAATAAAACTACCCCATACTAAAGATGGGGGAATTTCTTCCTTGATTCGCCCTTCAGAATCTTGCAATAGCTACGCAATAAAAATATTGCCAATGTTATGATCACGTGACACTGACATCAATATCCGGTTGAATCGTACACTACACAATTGGTAAATAGCAATGTCGACCACCTTTCTTTGGCCAAGACGTAACCCCCAATTTCTCATTGTGCAATTCGTACAACTATCACGCTATGTCATATTTTTATATATTATTCTTCTCCATCAGGATCAAAGAGTTGCACGTCTTCGAGCCTTATATTTATGGGCCCCGTTATTTATCCGTATTCCTGGGAGATTGACCAAAGCGGGGTAGGCTAATCACCGGAAATCACCTATAAACACCGGAATACACTTACAAGCACCGGAATTCACTTTGAAGACATCAGAATTCGCCCGCAAGATCTTCATATTTACTAACATTTTGAATTAATATTAATATTGAATTACTTAAAGACACCGAAAATCCCCGAAATTCATTTTGAAAACATATAAACACCGGAATTCACTTTCAAAATATCGGAATTCGCACTTAATATTTAATAATAGTTTGCATTAATAATACATTACTTTAAAACACCTGACTTATATTTACTTATTCTAGAATACTAGAATGTATCTGTCATAAGAAATTAAAAGAAAGAAAAAAAAAATCCCATAAAAACAAGTCAAGAACTAGATCAATAACACGTTTAGCGAGGCGGTTAAAGGCTCAATACCACTCTTGTTGTAACTGAATAATATGTCCCAATCTTTATGCTGGTCAACAAATTGTACTATTTTACAATATTCCAATTAATTGATGATACAAATTTCATCTTAACACACCTAATTTAAAAAATTGGAAAAATTCACAAATGATTTGAAATGAAATGAAATGAAATGAGGTTTAACGTCCTACTGTTCTGCTCCTAACCTGGGCTAATGGAGACGGGCATACGCCATACAGTGTGCTATGAGGGAAATTTTGCCCGGACAGCGGCACTACGGCCTACTCTTATATCGAATTCCAACTGTCAAGGGATCTTTTACGTGCACGCCAATGTGTACACGGGACCTCGGTTTTTCGTCCCATCCGAACGACTAGGCAGCTTTTCTTGTCAGCCCCTCCGTCCTGCATCACTGACAAGGGAGAACCACGCCAGAAAATCTGGATGAACTTTCTCGGCCAATGCAGGGATCGAACACCCGACCTCCAGGCTAGCGAGCTAGCGTCTTACCCACTTAGCCACGTGATCCCCAAAATGATTTGAAAAGCCTGACGTAAAGCTTTTCAAATGTGACTTGGATTTAAAAATATTTTTGAGCCCTCTGGACAAGTAAAATAGGATTTAATGGATAATTTACACAACAGGTAGGACACTAACACATTTAGTACTTAGAATAAGGCTATTTTTTATTTTCTGGAGCTGTCAAGCCAGCAAGAGTGTTATTGTCCCTTTAAAACGATATTTCCAGATGGTCAAAATCGAGAAAGACAATACGATTAGAACGCAATAGTATTCCAAATGGTTCGATCGGGGTGCGATATCACCCCGGTGGAAGCGGACTTTAAATAAACCTATTTCACACACATTTACCTACACCCCACTTGCAATTATATAAATAAGAAAACAAAAAAAAAAACCCATTGTGAATCGTTGTCTTTAATATCTTCATCAAAAGTCATGGCTACTCATAGAAAGATTAAATACTCTGTCAGCAAACTCCTGGTTATATAGCGCCCGACAATATGGAAAATAGATAAGACTCATTAATCCACGATGTTTATCAGTTAATAGGGAGAGAGAGAGAGGAATGGGATTTAACGTCCACTAGACACAAACCAGGTCATTTCGGGACTAACATATGGTTCAATTTCATTTCAACAATTGGCTTGCGCGTAGAGGTCTTTAGCAGTGGGAGGAAACCGGAGGATCCAGAGAAAACCCACGAGGTTGGACAGGCGACACTACCCCTTGTCACGTACAAACGGGGAATCGAAACCACGCCAGTTGACTCAATGACAGACCTTATGAAACAACGAACACGCGTTAACCATTCGGCCACCCAAGCCCTTCAGCTATATACGGCGCCCGTATCCATCAATGCATTAAGTATTCGTCTCATTAGTAATAGATGAACCTTGCCATTTGGTACACTGAAAAAAAACTTGTGTTGTTTTCAACACAAGTAAGGTGTCTCTATTTAACAACACAAACTTGTGTTGAAACAACACAAAACTTGTGTTAAATGTTGAAACAACACAAAACTTGTGTTAAAATTTATCAAACAACACAAACTTGTGTTGAAACTTGTGTGAAAATCTACACAATACTTGTGTTGAAATTTTTGAAACTTGTGTTGAAATTTCTGAAACTTGTGTTAAAATTTCTGAAACTTGTGTTGAAATTTCTGAAACTTGTGTGGTTTCATACAAACTTGTGTATAACCATCCACAAAAACTTGTGTTGTGTTTTTCCCCAATTTATATACAGTATAGCAACCTTTTTATGCAGGACCCATCTCTTTGCTCTGTTAGACCTGTAAAGTTTGATAAAAGAAGGAAACAAAATTTGTTTTTGTTTTTGTAAGATTATTATTTATTCATAAAATCATAGAAAAAAGTAAATTAATACATCAAAACTAAATAGATATTTGAAATGTTAACAGAAAAACAGAGAATTCTAATACTAATTATATTGTGTTATATATAATGACATGATCCCCCCCCCCCACACACACACACACACCCCACTTTACCCATCACAAAATATAACATACCTATTTAAATTGTTCTTAACCCCACACACTTTACCTATCACAAAATATAAAATAGCTATATAAATTGTTCTTTACCCCAAAACAAGAACTGAGAATATAAAGATATGTACACAGTATCCCTACCCCATACTCCAAAATATATAATTCAAATAATATCTAAATTTAATAACATCCAAACCAAGCACTAAGATTAATTATGCACTAAATTGAAACAATTTCAAAAACTGAAAAGTGCTACAAAATCACACTACAAGTGATTTGTGAGACATATAGAAATAACTAATATACACAGAAAACTAACAAAAGAAAAATGCACTATTTTGCAGGAGTAATAAAATGATGTAAAACCTTTTCCTCATTAAAAAACCCCAAACAAAATGAATATTTTGTAAATAAAAGAAGCAAAGCATCAAGATTACAGGATTGAAATAAAAAAATATCATATGTACAAAAAATTTATATACAATCACAAGTCATAAGCCACAGTGGTTCAGTGAGTATAAGGTGTTGGCCGAGAAATTTCAACTGGATTTTCCGGCATAGTTCCCACTTGTCAGTAGTCTTGGATATGGCAAGGGATAATTGGGTACAAGCCCGGAATCGAAAGAGAGAGGGAGAGAAATGGGGTTTAACGTCCACTTGACACAAACTATGTCATTTCGGGATTAACATATGGTTTAATTTTATTTCAATAATTCGTTGCGCATAGGGGTCTTTAGCAGTGGGAGGAAACCGTAGGTCCCGTAGAAAACCCACAAGATTGGACAGGCGACCCTACTCCTTGTCACGTACAACCGGGGATTCGAAACCACGCCAGTTGACTCAATGACAGGCCGTATGATACCGCACGCACATGCTTACCATTCGGCCATCCACCACCCCCTCCCCCATTCCCGGAATTGAAACCATCCCCACTGCGTTCACTTAGTAGAAGCCTTGACAATTGAATTATTTGACTCAATGACAGACTTCCTGATCAAATGTGTGCATGTTAATCATTGCCCCCCCGGGTTCCCGTTAAAGAGCCCTTGACAGTTGAAATATTTGATATAAGAGTAGGGTGTAGGGCAGAATCACTCTAAGAACACAGAAAAGTAGGATACTAAACCGTATTTCATTTCATAAGCAAGGGAAAGTCACCTTTATGTAGGTCAAGGTTTTTTGTAATTCTGGGTGTATTTGATCTACATTTGGTTTCTAGTAATGCCTATTAAATACTTTATGATTTCTGACCAAATTCTAAGTGATTTATATGCCACTTTACTTGCTATATTATACATACATTTCTGAAGAGAATTAAAATCTAATTGTGTTTTGGAAGAAAATTTAACATTAATAACAAAAAATAAATATTTAAAAATTGGGTCAAATGCATTCTTTCCCAGAAGTATAAAATAAATTGATGCTTGGGTTTTCTTGTTGTTATCATACAGCAAATACTCTTTCAATGGTGTTCCAGCCTAAAAAATAAAAAGTAGGAGATAAGAATACTTTCTATGGTTCACAACGTTTAAATAAACAATTTATTTTGCCACATCGAGACCGAGTCTCTATTTGGTTTCAACTTTGCGTAATGTCTAATTATTTTTGGACCCATTCTTATTTTATTTCCATTGACAACAAATTGGATATTACCCTTTAAAATCTACTGAAATCTATTTGAAAGTAAAATACCGTCCATCATTATTTTACTGCTATTTACTGTAAAAATACACATACATGTAGGGCATATCGCAACTTGAAGGAAATCAATGGATGTGATTGGCAAAAATCAAGCATGCCAAGTACTTGAAACAGCAGAGTCCTAGGCATTGCCCCAAGAAGAATAACTAGATTACCAAGCAAGTGTATAGAAGTACTTCCTGATTAAAAATACAAATATATATGTTACTTACATTTTGCGTGTTTTCCCCTTGTCAGTGATACAGGACGGAGGACCTGACAAGGACAGCTGTCTAGTCGTTCGGATGGGACGAAAAACCGAGGTCCCGTGTACACATTGGCGTGCACATAAAAGATTCCTTGGCAATTGGAATTCGATATAAGAGTAGGCTGTAGCGCCGCTGCCCGGGCAAAATTCCCTTCATAGCACACTGTATGGCATATGCCTGTCTTCATTAGCCCAATTTATGAGCAAAACAGTAGGATGTTAAACCCCATTTCATTTCATTTTCAAAATTATAAAATAATTTGATGGCTTAATATTCAAAAGGTACAGTCCTTCATGTTTATAAAATTGTACGGGAGCCATAAAAAGCTCCTGATACCTTGAATATATGCAGTTTAAAAGTAAACAAAA